TATAACCCTAAATAAACCCTAAATAAACCCTAATAAACCCTAATAAACCCTAAATAAACCCTAATAAACCCTAATAAACCCTAAATAAACCCTAATAAACCCTAATAAACCCTAAATAAACCCTTAATAAACCCTAATACACCTTAAATAAACCCTAATAAACCCTAAATAAACCCTAAATAAACCCTAAATAAACCCTAAATAAACCCTAAATAAACCCTAAATAAACCCTAAATAAACCCTAAATAAACCCTAAATAAACCCTAAATAAACCCTAAATAAACCCTAAATAAACCCTAATAAACCCTAAATAAACCCTAATAAACCCTAATAAACCCTAAATAAACCCTAAATAAACCCTAAATAAACCCTAAATAAACCCTAAATAAACCCTAAATAAACCCTAAATAAACCCTTAATAAACCCTAATAAACCCTAGTAAACCCTAAATAAAAACTAAACTTAAATCTAACTTAATCTTACTTCATCTTACTTAACCTAAACCTAAAATAAGAAAATTGACCTTCGTGACATTATTACACATTATTCCTCTTTTTTTGAAAGTGAGTGTTGTTGTTGTTTTTTTTTTTTTGGTTTTTTTTTTTTTTTTTTATTTCTATTCTGAATCTGTATCCTACTCAATTTTTTTTGTACATCTTTAATTCCTTAAATGCAACTTCTTTTTGTGTATCATTTAAAATTGTGTCTTATCGCTCGCATAGATTGGTATCTGTTTTGCAATTTACTCATGTTGAAAAATTAAATTTTCCGGTAATTGTATGATTCTATTCTTTTTTGTTTATGTTGCGATTAATTCTAGTTAATTATTTTTGCATCTGTGGTTTCTATTTTTAGTAACTATGTTGAAACAAAAAATTATCTTCTCTTGTCTATTACGTAGCTACTTTATTATTTATGTATTTTTATTAATAAATTTTTTTTACTATATTCAATTTATTGTGTCGAAATAGAATTTACTTTGAAACATTGACATATAAGCGTTGAAAATCAAAGCGGTAATAAATTTTTTTATTTACATTTTCAATGTTTTAATTAACTATAGTATTTTGTTAGCATAGTTTTATTAAGTTTAAAAAAGATTATTTTGGACTGAGGTGCTACTATGGAAATATAGAAATATTGCGTGAACACTATGTCGTCAATCTTACTACTACCTCCATCTCATAAAATATAATTGAAGGTCAACTTTTGATCTTCTACTTTTAAAATTTGAATCTCTCTAACACTCTTCTGGTATTTTCTTAATTTCCTCAATTCAAATTACTCTGTCCTTTTCATACACTGTAATTACAGTTTTCAATACCCCTTCCCATTTCCAATTTACCCATTCTTCCCCCACCACTCATAATGATAAATCCCCAATCTAAATCGCTGTTGGGTTGGCCCCCCTTTCTTCCCAATTGGCCCCAATCCTTCCTCCCCTCCCACTCATTTTCCCCTATGGCAATTTTGAAATCACAATTGCCCATCCACATTTCGAGTTGACCCCTCTCTTCTCAATTGGCCCCAATCCTTCCCCCACTCATTTTCCCCCATGCCAATTTCTAATTTACAATTGCTCCCAACCCTCTCTCCCAATTAATTTGCCCCTTCTTTCCTACATCAACACTTCCCCAAGACAATTTTTAAACCAAAGTTGCCCTATCATTTTTTACCTGCAATTGACCATTTCATTCCCCCATACATATTCTCTCATCAAATGACAATTTACTAGATGCAATTCTTTGTTTTTTCCAGTTACTTTTTTTTTGAACCTTCTACTTGATCCTTTTCAATATGTCTATTTCTTTGAATAAAAAACTTTTCTTTCTATACATACTACGACTATGTCCTCTTTTTTTATAGGTTAGTTTTCACTTTTGATGTTATTAATTTTTTAAAAAAATAATCCTTGCGTTTATGGCGTGTCTGTAGTATAGCATGTCAAGGTTGCTATCAAATTTTGCTGATCGTTTTTTTTTGTTGTGTATATTTTTAGTAAATATTGTCAAACTAAACTAAAAATTATTTATTTTTGTCAATAAAATGGATACTGTATATTTAGTCTTTTTAAAATTCATTTTTTTTTGCTTTGTTGAGTTTTTTGTGTTTATATAATATTCACTTTGAACATTTCATTGTAACAGTTGAAAATTAAGTCAATGATTAAATTTTTTAATAATGTTTTAAATGTTTCAATTAACTATATCAAATTGTTATTATATTGTCTTTAGAAATTTAATATGAAGATTATTTTAGAGTAAAAATGTATTATGAAAGCATGGAAACAGTATGTAAACAGCATGTAATCGAACTTTCTACTACTACTATCTCATAAAATATAACTAAAGTTCAAATTTCAATCTTTTTTGTTTTTCGAATTGGAATTTTTCAAACACCCTTCCTGTACGGATTCTCCCAAGATTTTCAATTCACACTCAGTCCTCTTTGCACACTGTCCTCAATTTCAAATGCCCCCATTTCTAATTTACCCAATCTTCCCTGTATCCATAATGGCAATTTTCAAATCAACACAATCGCCTTTGGATTGGCCCCTCTTCTCCAATTTCCTCGCACCCCTTTCCCCACTCATTTTCCCCCATTGCAATTTCCCCACTCTTTCCCATTTCCAATTACCCATTCTTCCCCAGCCCACCACAATGGCAATTTCCAACATCCCTTTCACCTTTGCAGTTTGCTCAAATTGGCCCCCTTTCCCCACCCATTTTCCCCTATGGCAATTTCCCCTCTCTCTTCCATTTCTAATTTACCCATTCATCCCCCCACCCACAATGGCAATTTTCAAATCACGATCGCCTTGGGGTTGGCCCCAATTGGCCCCTTTCCCCACCCATTTTCCCCTATTGTAATTTCCCTACTCTCTCCCATTTCCAATTTACCCATTCTTTCCCACCCCATACCCATAATGGCAATTTTCAAATCAAAGTTGCGCGGGCCCATTCCAAATCGTCCACTCTTTCCAAATTGCCCCACCTTTCCCATTAGCAGAAAAAATCAGTAAAAAGTGTGTATATTGGTGCTCAACATATTATGCAGTATCAGACCCAATGGAAACAATAAAATCTTCATTTTACAGTATACCAATATGATTCAACATTGGGTCAATTCTGGAAACAATGGATTCAAACGAGTTTCGATCGATCTAGGTAATATTGAAAGTAATTTACAACTATGAAGAAAGAATGTGGGGATTTTCTCTCGTTATGATTCTTGTCAAGGAAACTATCAACTAGATTGTTCTCTGTGTATTTAGATGAAAGAATATTAATACTCGTTGGTATTTCTTCTGCCAAGTCTACTTGAGTAAATTCTTCCAATAAATCCACACAATTGTTGAGCATTTGGCATTAAATAGAATATTGAGGATATATAAATACTATATGAACCGAAGTCTCGGGTATAACGGCTCTTCTTATGGGACAGAGAGTTTTATAGTGCCATTTTAAAATATCTTGATGAGCTAAAAGACTCATAATAGATGAACAACCCAGTGTGGTTCAAACAACCCATTTCATTCTAGTAGCACTATCCAATCCGGTCCGTATTTAACTTGAAAATGCACAACGAAACTACTCCTATTTATATCACTTACCTTGTATAAATCTTTTTCTATGGTTACAACTTGTTTTTGACCCGCAAATCAACAATCTGTCTAAAGTGAATTCTTGAATCACCTTTTTTAATAGAGTTGTTTTACTACTATTCATCAAATACTGGAATCGGTCAATTTTACAAATTCAAGTGCAATTATTTGTCAATTAATAAGTAAATATGCTAGTATGACACAAAGCAATCAATCAATGAATCAACACAAACCAAACTCAATTCTTCATCCATAAAGACAACAAAGAGTCTGTTGTGCAAATGACCGTGACCCACTAAAAGCTGTACCAGATGATCAACTTGGATTTGTAATAGCTTAGTATAACAAAGATAAGAGACAACTTTTTTCACCATAGAAAGTAAACGGACATAACCATGTATCTCAGCAAGACTTGAAGTACTACCGATCTAAGGTTATGATCAAAGTACTTCTTCGTCAATCTTCTCAAGTTATCATGTGGATTCAAATCTTTCAAACAACATAAAACCGAATTTTGCGTTCTTCTATTTAAAATAGGAATGATCTCTAAAATTGCCAAGCATACAGTTCCTTTCAATTGAGCTGAATTGCCTCATATGTATATGATTCTGTAGTTAACTGAGACATTATATATGTCCCACTATGAAATCAATCTTTGATGGAACAGATTGGTGACAACTGGGTTCTATCAAAGCTTTAAAAGTCATAGCCATAAAACTTGATAGTCTGAAAGATACAAGGCCTTTATGAAGCTAAGTTACAAGGTGAGCTCTATGATAAACAGTGAAAAAAAATGTTAACAGTAAATTCAAATAGCATATAATAGGTACTCTTCAAATAAAGCATTCATAACAAGAATATGAATTCATATGGACAAGGTCAAGTCATTCTACTTGACACCAAGTTCAATAGAAATGTAGCCAAGATACATTAAAGTCCCTCTCTCGACAACTTAAAATTGACCTTATCACTAGGCATAAACGATATGATAACTACCAATAATATTCTATTTATGACCAACTCGTGCAATTCTTTAGGTAAGGCTCCGTGAACAAGAGAATGAAAGGTGCTTAAAGAAACAATACACAACTCTTTATCAGACGACATTGTTCTGATTCTATCAAGCAAAGCACTTGGCTTATTCTCTTTCTTGATAGTTGATTGCCCTATTTTTTACAATAGCTTGTTTCCACTCAATACAATTTAAACTTGGTTCAACATAGCCGAAACTATGATCTTTTAAAATCAGTTGAATTCAAACTGATTCCGGGAAACTAGCTCATATCCCTATTGTCTCTGGTCTTGTCGATTAGATAGAAAAATATATCAGTTCCACAATTGAGGGACGTATTGAGTTTTTAATATAGGCAAAGCGAGTGGTCGTAAAACACCATTAACAATTCTAAATAAATGACGAACTATAGAAGAAATACTATGTTCACGACTCTTCGAGAACAATGGTGTAGTGAGAAGTGTTGTCCTATCTCTTGTAAGAGTTGCTGTTATTGTTGTCGTCAAATGTGCAAATCAGATAGTAAATTCTGCTTTTATAATCATTTCTAACAGTTCATACCAAGACCCCAATAATTATTGCAATGGAAATAAATACAAGCAACTTTTTTCCGGTCAAGTTGTTGATTGACAAAGATTGATTAGTTTGAATCTAAAACTATTCGTCGAGTATGATGAGGAGTGATATCCTTCTTCATGGAATACTAGTATCAAGATTGAGTTGAATCATAAACTTGATATTGTTCTTCCTATAAATGTTATTGTCTACACTTTCCAAACCAGTAAAGAAAGTTACAACTATATAAAGAATAATATCTACAGAAATGCAAATAATGATTCTGCAAGTGAGATTGTATATTCCTTGCTTTATTCTACAATTTGCCTTTTCGAATAGAAATTTGATTGTCTTCTATCAGTGAAGATTGTATGATATTCATTTTAGATAAAAAAAAGGAAGAAGAAGAATAAAGTCCGTGTGAAGGATAAAGAATGCCTCAAATATTCAGGTCTTTGAAGCATTGAGCAATTTGTAACGATTAGGGATGCCATGGAATAAACCTACACTAACCATTTTGTTTCAACAGCCTACTTCTTATTTTATGGTGCTCAAATACAGGTCATGCATATCAGTAGAATGCATAAACAAAACAAAGTACCATAAACGTTCTACTGTTACCAGTATGAGGTACTACTAGGGAATACTTTTTCTACTAATGACGACCAGAATATCGTTGATGTTTATAATGAGAATCAAATTCAAGACCTTTGGCTCATAGCACTATCTCTGTCGTCTATTGAACTAGAAAGCCATTTCTTTCTTTTTTCATTTGATATCTTTCATCATCTATTTTCTTCCAAAGGAAATTGGTGTATTTTTTTGATCAGCGAGTTGTATAAAGTTGAAATGAAACGAATCATTTTCTTCATCTTGTACTACATAACATATAAACATGAAAAAAGAGACTCAATAGCTTGTATCAGCGAGGTTACTTTGCTTTTTTTTGCAGCTCGTTTCTGACCAATCGTCTACAAACTAGTTGAATCTTCTTCTAAATCAAATGATTCTATAGTCTATGAATAGTATAGTTTATCGCTGTCATACTTTATTTCAATTAAAGTTCAGTTTTTAGTGTTCGGTAATTATTCCAACTTTCTTGAAAAAATAAGATAACAAGATGATGACTACTCTCCGACCAGTCAATAGAAACAAGCAATAGACTTTTAGCACAATGCCTTTATTAAAAAAATAATGATTCTATGACGCAAGTTGAGCTTGGTACCAAGACAGCAAAACGAGAACGTGCTCCACCAATATTGATAGGAACAATTGGATTCAAACAAAGTTCAATTGAATTCCGTACAGATACAAGAATGGTGGATGCTGATTGATCTATGCTCATCAATAGTAACATGTTCTCAATATTCTAGAAACACATTGTCATTCAATATGAAAGTCAATCCACAAATG